GATAAGGGCAAACTCTCAACCCATCAAATAATAATTGAAGAGCTCTATTCCCCATGTTATAGCCAAAGTCTCCTACTCAAAGGTGGTATAATGGGTCTCATGCTTCAGGAGCCTATGACTAGCATAGGTCACCTGTCTTCTGTGTCCGTTCACTTTCTGTGTCAGGACCACTCCTAAGGCAAGGCCAGATGCATCCGTCTCTAGGAAGAACTGCTGGGTGAAATCTGGAGTAAACAGTACTGGTTCTCCACACAGAGATTCTTTAACTGTCTTAAAGACCTCCTGAGTCTTGTCAGTCCACTGAATCTCTGCCTGTCACCTCCCTTTGGTTAGGTCTACCAGGGGTGCTACTATTTCTGAAAAAAGCAAAACAAATTTTCTATCATAATTTAATATTATAATTTCTATAATAATTTCATATAATAACGCAGAAAATTTTTTCTATAATAATTAGGTGAGTCCTAAAAAGAACCTCATTTGTTTTTTAGTATTAGGAGCTGCATAATTTTGGAATGCCTCTACTTTATCCAGGTCTTTCTTGGCCTTGAACCACCATAAACCCCAAATACTTGGTCTCCTGTTGGCCCAAGTGACATTTCTGTGGATTTGTGGTTAGTCCTTCTCTCTGTATTGACCCTAATACCTCATGAAGATTTAAATGCTGCTCCCAAGTGTTTGAAAAAAATTATGATGTCATCTGTATATGCTGCCACACAACATCGATAGTGGTTCAGTATCTGGTCCATTAGGCATTGGAAAATTGCAGTCACCCCATGTAATCCAAAAAGCATCCATTGAAATTCGAACAGCCCCCAGGGTGTCCTGAAGGCCGTTTTCTCCCTGTCTTCTGGGGCTACGGGTACATGCCAGTATCCCTTTTTCATATCCAACATTGAGATGTAGTGCACCTGTCCAATCTTCTCCACCATCTCTTCTACACAGGGTATGGGGAAACAGGGCCCTGCACAGGGCATATGGTTAGGGACCTGCAGGCAAAACCCTACAAAGAGAGATTGAGGGCCCTGGATCTCTTCAGCCTCTGCAAGTGAAGGTTGAGAGGTGATCTTGTGGCTGCCTACAAATTCATCAGTGGGGGACAGCAAGAAATTGGAGATGCTCTGTTTGCCAGGGCACCCCTTGGAGTAACTAGGAACAATGGCCACAAACTGACAGAGAGCAGATTTAGGTTAGACATCAGGAAGAACTTCTTTATGGTAATGGTTGCCAAAATCTGGAATGGGCTTCCAAGGGAGGTAGTGTTCTCCCTTTGGGGTCTTTAAGAGGAGGCTAAACATGTACCTGGCTGTGGTTGTCTGACAGGGCAGGGGTCGGACTCGATGATCTGCTAAGGTCCCTTCCGACCCAAGCGTTTACGAATCTATGAAAGCATCGAACTTTGCGATCTCATTAACTTTCCTAAAATCAATGCATAATCCCAATGCGCCATCTGGCTTATGCACCACCACTAAGGGGTTTCTCCACTGGCTTCATAATTCTCTGATAATGCCTCAGGCTAACGTTTGTATCACCTCTTGTTGTACCACTTCCTGGAGTCCTTGAGGAAGATGTCTCCAATGTTCTTGTACTATCACTGCTGAGGAGTATGTATATGATGGACTGCTCCCTTGGTTAAACCTGGCTCTTCTTGGAAAAGGTTACGATAGTCTTCAACCACTTGAATTAGTTGTTTTCTTTGTTCCAGAGTCATATATTCCCCTACTTGTGGCATAGACCCCTCTCTTCTGGGGGCCTAACTCTTCCAGGTTTGTTCCTGGGTCTAACATATAGCCCTCAGGAGGGTCCTTCGACTGCTTTAGCAAATTTCTATGAAATATTTGTTTCTCTCATTGTTGGCCAGGGTGAAAGATTTCATACTCTACAGGCTCCACCTTTTGTGTGATCTTGTTTGGGCCCCGCTATCATGCTAACAACTTGCTGTTATGGCTGGGAGTAGCAGTAGCATTATCTCCGCCTTTCTTGGTAATGCTCGTGAGGTCACCTGGCATACCAGGCAGACATTACAAAACTTTTCTGCTTCTTTATAAGTATTGGCCAAAAGTACTCAAATTGTTCTAGTTAGAAAGTGTTGGAGCATGCACTGGGCTCGTGTATAGGTGCCCATAAATACTAATTCATGAGTTTAACTAATTATTGGAGCAGTTTACCAAACAACAACAACAAAAACTATACCAAAGGATCTGTTGGATGCTGCATCATTTGAAGCCCTTAAATCAAGTTATATTTCAAAGGTTCAAAGCAGTAATTATGGATGAAATACTATGTTCTGCTTCACCCAAGATGTGAGACTGAAGATGACCATAAAGAGCCCCTTCTGTGCTTAACATCTATGAGTCTATGAATCCACTATTTTTGGGTTTTGTTTTATTTTTCTATGTTTACTTATTTATTGTCATTAACTTTATGGCAGGAGAAAACACCTGCACCTTTCATGCTTTCAGTCTAGCATTTTCAAAGGGTCCTAAAGGAGTTACACACCCAACAGATTTAATTTTCATAAAATTTATGCGCCTGATTCCCCCAGACCCTTTTCAGAATCCCAGCTTTTTCCAGTAAGAGGTATTTAATATCTCTCTAAAGGACCAGATTTTTTCAGAGGGTTCTATGGGACTGATGTAGATTTAGAAGTGTACAAGCAGGTTTGCCACTGAAATATTGTTATAAATGTTTTCATTAATAGACTTGCCTATAAGATTAACTGAGGCTCCAAGGAAGTAATGGCTTCAAGCTGCAGCTTGAAGTAATGGCTTCAAGCTGCAGCAGAAGAAATTTAGGTGAGAGATTAGGAGGAACTTTTTGACTATGAGGGAGGTCAACCATTGGAACAGGGTAGCTAGACAAGTTGTGCAAACTCCACCCCTGGAAATGTTCAAGCGCAGATTAGATAGAAACTTGACTGGGATGTTTTAGCGAGGAATGATCCTGCCATAGGCAGTGGGCTGGGCTAGCTGACCTCATGAGGTCTCTTTTACTCTTACTTTCCTATGATCCTAATTAGTGCTCATATTTACAATGCAAACAACTATGTTTCAGTACTCAAGAAAAATACAATCTAATTGGAGAAAAACAACTTCACAATGCTTTTGACAACAATTTTGGTATTTGTAGAGAGTTTTTAATGCATTTAATTACAACCCACTTCAAATCTGCTTTACAGGTGCATACGAATAAAACACAATTTAATTGGTAAATACACTGTTTCAGTAGAATCTTGTAAAAATAAAAGAAATTCAGTTTACTTGTAAAGCATTTCGTAGAAAGGTCTTCTGCAATATCTGAACTTTATTACATAATTATTTTTAGTGTACAGAGATATTACACTTTTTTACAATATTTATTAAGGCAACAAAGAATGACCTTATTTATGTTAATTTTTTGACTGAAGCAGCAAGTACTGTTCTGTCTGCCTGCAACATGGAAAGTAGTTTCAGCTTTCTTATTCTAATAGTTAGCCATTTTTGCTAAATTTCTATGTTTCAGTGGATGTACTTCTCTAATAATATGATTATCTATCATAGTAAACTGAATGATGGAAATACGGGGTAGGACAGATTTTTATAAAGCAGACAAAAATCAACAAGAATATGAATACAGAATCTTTCAGTCAGAATCTTAAGTAAGCCTTTCCCATTAAGAGTGCTCACATCCCCCGACCATTCTTGTAGTTGTGAGACATTAAAAGAAACATTGATGAATACAGCCTCAGAGTTAACATGCTTATTTATCCATTAGAGAGCTACTACTGAAACATAGCCCTTGCTTCTGACTTAACAGTAATCTTCTATCAAGATAATGTGTACCCTGACATTTCCTGTCAGATTACAAAATAACATTTGGGATACTGGAGGATTGCAAATTTCTTGTTTTACCACCCTGGTGCAGACTTAAGTTATCTGAACACAAGTTAGGTAGCATGGCCCGGTTAATAGCCTTGATTGACATGGCCTAACTTTGAGATAATCAGAAGTCACTTAGTATGAGACAAGAAGCTTTAATTTGCAGACATTTATGTTTTAAGTGTCCTTAGTATGGTCTAAGTGTAACATGCAACTTCACCCTTAGGTACCTAAAGGTGGGTTAGGCAGTACTTTGTTGGTGTTCTGGCAGCAGGGGCTTTGCCCATGCCAGAACAGAGTGGTAAGGAGCTATGCCAGAGCTGGGCAACAGGGAGCTGTACTTGTTCTGCATCTGGGAAATGGGTAGAAGTGGTGTCTGGGAAAATGTGCAGTAGTAGCCATTAAGTCAGAACTCCAGCTTGCCTTGGACTAGAGCCAGATTTTTCCAGTCCCTGGCTTTGAAACATTGCCAACCTCTGAATTAGAGAGTTAGGTGGAAGTTAGTCATTTCCCCACCACCAATTTGATTTATAACTGAGCATAGGATGGACTGAGACACCCAGGCGTCTGATCTGGGTCATTTCTGAACATTTTCAGAACCGCAAGTCTTGCCATCTTTTATGACCAAACTGGACATGCCTAAACAGCTTTGCAGCAACTGAGCAGGGCTGATTTGAATCAATCTTTGGAATTAAGACACCATGGGTACTTTTGCACATGCTCCAGCGCTGGGGGTGGGGGGGCGCTACTTTAATTACAGAAGCTTTGAGAGCTGCTCTAATTAAAGCACTGCAGCATCTCATGTATCAACGTCCTTGCACTTCAAAATGGTGGCAGGGGTGCTTGAAATAAGATGGTTTGATGAGCTTTAGTTCAAGCACCCTCACTGCCATTTTGAAGCATGGGGATGCTGATGCACAAGATATGAGAGGCTGCTGGAGCGTGGTAATTGCCATTACCTGAAGGTTATCAATGGGCTCAGTGATAGTATCATAAGTTGAAGGGAAAGACATGGAAGAGGCAGTTTGTGATTTATCTAGCTGACTACCATAATTTTCATTCAGTATGAATGCAATTAATTTTTCTTCTTAGGTGCCTCCCCTTCAAAGATATAACTATCACAATTCCTGAGATAGTATAAGAGGCCTATTTCACAGAACACTGAAGCAAATAACTCCTGACAGCCCTTTGAATAACAATGGCAGACACCTCCTCCTGTTTCCTTCTAAGAGTAGTTGTGATTGGTTTGCAAGAAGTTTTGGATGGGTTGGCAGCCATAAACCTTTCCTCCATCTGTACTCTCAGAGCATCCATATCTCCATATTCTCCTAACACTCGTTTGGTAAAAGCAAACAAGATATCCAAGCAGTGGATCTTCTCTCCACTGACCATGGGAAGGTCCATTGCTATAAGCTCAAGATGGTTTGGTTTTGGTATGCGTAAAGGTTCTGCCAAAGCATCTGCAAAGTCTGAAAGTGCAGAATACTTAATAAACTGAGTTGCTTTAGGATCAAATTTTCCCCAGATTTCATAAAATATATCAAAGTCATCATCACTTAGAGGTTCTGCGCTTTCTTCAGTAGCAACATTGAAGTTTTCTAAAATAACAGCTATGTACATGTTTACAACAATGAGAAATGTTATGATGACATAACTAACAAAAAACAGAATACCTATAGAAGGGTCTCCACAACTAAGTTTTAAATTTGTTACATTTAAATTTGGAGCACATGAAGTGCTAGTTAACAAAGGGCTCAGAAGCCCATCCCAACCAGCTGATGTTGTAATTTGGAAGAGACAGAGCATGCTGCTAACAAAGGTTTGGAAGTTGAAAATGTCATCAATCCCACCATTCCAACCAACACAGGCAAAATTATTCATGCCAAGAATAGCATAAATATACATGACAAAAAACAATAACAGACCAATGTTGAACAGAGCAGGAAGGGACATCAATAATGCGAAAAGGAGAGTTCTAATTCCTTTAGCTGCTCGAATTAGTCTTAGGATTCGGCCAATCCGTGCCAAGCGAATAATTCTCAAAAGCAAAGGAGAGAAGAAAGTCTTGAATACTTCAGAAAGTGCCAAATCTTTAAAGGAAAAGAGAGGGGGGAAAAAACAACAAGAGAATTAAGCTACTAATTCAATGAAGATTGCAGATATATAGGAACATGTTGTTATTTGTTATCTATTAGGTATTTAAGTGTTACAAGTTAGAAATGAAAATGTCCTGTCAACTTCAGCAAAACTCCTGATGTCCTTGCCACTTTAAGGGGAAAGCTACACTGTTAAAGTTTATGATCCATCTGAAGTTTATAAACAAATCAAAACTCCTTTAAATGTTAAACAAATGCATACAAACTCCTTGAAGTAACTACGATGAATTATTGCTTTCATTCTGTGGGCATTATGGTGCTGAGCACCTCAAATACATGGGGTTTATTCAGATCTACTTCCATGCTGGATTCAAGAGATTTTTTTACTAGGTGTGGCCTTGTAGGCTATGGCACATGAAGTCTTGTTTTCCTTCTTCTATTTCAGGGAGAACATGATCCTCAATAGTCTATTTTTGCCCAGGACACAGAAAGACAACAGCACTGTCAGTGTTGATAAAGACTCTCTTACTACATATAGATAGAGCCTAGGGCTCAGCTCTTATTCTGCCTCTAAGTTGTTACTGTTAGCCCAAAATGTACATATCTTGCCTCTAAAGCAGTGGTTCTCAACTTGTTTAGGCTTGAGGTATCCCTCAGAAAATGCCAGCTTTTAGCTTTCACTCTTTTTTTATTACAGAAAAATAATAGAGCAATTCTCCTGTTGCAAAGAACTCAGAAAGACCACAACAGGGCAGAATGTTTTTAACACCAGGGATTCCTGTTTGAAACCTCTGGTTTCACCTTGTCAATCATGTTTGCACACTGAGGCATGCAGGGTGTTTTCTCGGGTGGTATCTGGTTCCTGTCACTTTTGATATACAGGCTGTTGGAGTCCAAAGACAACTCAGATTCCAAAGGCAACTCAGAAAAAAAATTCAGATCCATGATCAGTGGCAAAAGCTCAGAAAGTTTACTGTCTTCAGACAGTATATCAGTTGCTCTGATTCAGAGTCAGTTCAACCTGGTGAAACTTGTCCTTGACAGGTATGGACATAGTATGTTGTTCTCACTGCCCTAGGTCGCTACGAGAGACAAGTCTCCCAGCCCCTGTATTTATACTTGTGTGTACCCACCCCTCCCCACCACCTTCTTGTGCTAAATCTTATATCTCTCTGTCAAGATGTTCATCTTTACTTGATTTGTTTACAAAGTTTACACACCTACACTTTGCTTCTCATCTCTGTCTCGTTAGTGAGTTTTTACTTTTTTCATTCATCCTCAAGTTTTTTAGCTTTTCTCTTTCAGCTTTTCTCTCTTTAAAAAAGTGTCTTTTTGCTCATTAGTGTGCTTTTATATTTTTCTTTCTTATTTGGTCATCCAGTGGTCATGAGAACCCTTTCTCCCATTCTGCTTTTCAGCATTGTAGCTTAGCATTATTATGAACTAGTACAACCAGAACTCCTACAGCAGTACTAACATTGCATGTGACCCTTTAGCAAGGCACCGCTGGGTGCCAAGAAACCCTAGTTGAGAATCACTGCTCTAGAGCAGGGTTTCTCAACTGGTGGGATCTGAAGGTCCTTTACATGGGACTTGGGTGGCGGCGCTGAAACCAGAAGCGCCATGGTGGGACTTCCGGTTTCACTTTTGCGTGCTTTGATCACCTGGTGGGGGACCCACCCCCTGTTCTTTTACTGGCACCTGGGGACCCTCCCCCCTGGCCCTTGTTAACCAGCGTAACCAGGATTTTTTGACCGTATGTAGGTGGGACGTAAGGTGCAAAAGGTTGAGAACTGCTGCTGTAGAGTATGGTCTTCTTCCAACCAGAAAAATGCATAGCCTTCTCACTCTGTCAGTAGGCAGCCTTGTATATCTCCAAACCACAAAAGCATCGAGTCATCTACAGTAAACAGGAAATACTAGGCAAAGCAGTTTCTGATTTCCTATATCCAACTAGAGATCAAATCCAAGGTGTATCCTTTATATTTCCCAGTTCAGGGGAAGCCAGGGGTCATGAGCCTGAGCTCCCCCTACACTGGCAAGGAAGGCGACCATAGTTCCAGGGCCAGGCCAACAACTGATTGTCAGTTCAGCAACTGATTGTCCTAGCTCCTGTTCCCAATGCCTCTTTGGGATTAGGCCTATTTTATCTAGTGATTATTTTGTCCAGAGCTTCTTCCCTCCCAACAATTGGTTTATGCAGTCAGGCTACATAATGCATACTGTTCTCCTGGGTACATGGCTTTTGCATTACTTTCTACCCAGGTGTTAAATTTTCCTTGTAATAATTTTACTGATAATTTAAGGTGGTGTTAGGGTGATGATGTTGCTGTGATGGTCCAGGAAAAATTCAAGAGGTAAGGATTCTTGTGGGTGGTAACTTTTATTGGGCAACTGTATAGTTGGGAGGGATACTTTTGGGCAGCAGGTACATTTCTTCGGGTCAAAGGAAAAAAAGTCAGCTTCAGCTAAATAGCAGGCAGAATAAAAGCCTATGAAAAACTCTATATTTAAATAAAAAAAGAATAAAAACAGACAGTCTCAGGTAGGTGACAGACAAAACACCTACAAAAGACAGGTCTGGGAACAGAAATTCATTGGCTTACTCAATACTAAGGCCTCCTTTACAAGTTATATTTATGCTATGATTACCATGTTAATCACAGCATAAATGGCAAGGTTGTACCCAATTTAGGGCACTGTAAAATGGCAAACCAGTCATAAAAATGTACTATATATAATGTAGAATCTTATGACTGGTGTGTATGGCACCTTATACTGAAGATGTAACAGGGCTAGGACTGGGACTGACAATTAGTTGTTGGCCTGGCCCTGGAACTATGGTCACTTTCTTGCCAGTGCAGGGGGAACTCAGACTTATGGCGCTGGGCTCCCCCTGAACTGGGAAGTATAAAGGATACACTGTGGATTTAATCCCTAATCCCAAAATTGTATTTCATGCCATGCACATGTAGATGTTAGGATTGGGGATCCATAGCATCTTTAAATGAATGTGTGCCAAGGGCCTTAAAACCAGGGACTTAAGAAGTATTGACTTTACTGCCCGTTATAATCAACCTCCTCCCTACTGACCTCTCTGCACTCCATAGGTGATAACGATCCTCTTCAATGGTCTTGTTCTTCATTATCTTGTCTGTTAGCTACCTGTTATCATCTACAGAAATCCTCACCTTTTGAAGTGGGATTGTTGCCCCCCAGACCTGTGTGCGGGGCAGGGGTGGGTGTGGGCTGTCCACTATGGGCTTGGGCTCCCTGCCCTGTTGCCCTTTCCTGGGGCCTTTGTGGCCCAGCAGTTGGGACCTGGCACAGTATGGCAGAGCAGAGCTGGGTGGGGAAGCTCCTTGCCACTGCAAGCCCCACATTGCCCTAGTGAGGCATCCCCTGACTGCCCAGCAGCAGTGGGGTTGGTGGTGCAGGTTTGTGCCCCTTGCTGCTGTGGAGTGCACAGGGGGTGGGTCACCAGGGCATTGCAAGGCTCACAGTGGCAAGGAGTTTCCCTGTATGGCCGCGCTCTGCCCCACCATGCTGGATCCCACCTACTGGGCAGTGGAGGTCCCAGAGGATGGTAGCAGGGCAGGGAGCCCAAGCCCACAGTTGGCAGCCTACTCCGTGCACAGATCTGGGGAGCACAGGTCCTCCCTACCCCTCTGGGAGTGCATGCAGTGGCAGGGAGCCAGCCCCACCCGGCTTGAGCCCAGAGCAAGCAGCCCACACCCGCCCTGCCTACAGGCTCTACTCTGGCTATGCCGCCCGTGAGGGAATGGGAGGTGGGCTCCGCATTCCACTCCACTGCAGCAGCTGCTGCCTCCCATGAGTGGCAGCTGGGGCTTGAGCACTGCTGCAGGTGGTTGGGGGCTGTGGACCCGGGTCCCTGGACCCATAGCTCTGGCAGCTAGAGGCCCCCTCTGGCGGGGTTGGGTGGGAAGGAGGTTGTGGGTGGGGGATGAGGGGCACCAGCAGAGCCAGGAGGCTGCGGAGGAAGGGGAGTGAGAGGCAACAACAGAGCTGGGGGGCTGTGGGGAGGGAGTGATGGGCACTAGCAGGGCTTGGGGGGCTGTGGGTTGGGGGTGAGGGGCCTGGACCTGCATTCTGTGACCTAAGGCGGTAGGAGGAGTTGATTTTCCATGATAAAAAAACCCCAAAATCAAATACCAAAATGTATAGGTATTTAGAATTTATTTTATTATAGTGATTGAGGCACTGGTAGGCTTCCAAATTGCTTTAAAACTGTAAATATATAGATATATAGTGGCCTTTCATTTTAATCAGAGATTTTTGGTTTTTAATTGGAAAATTTGTCAATTTTTATCAGAGAATTTGCAATTTCTTATCAAGGGAAAACCAGGATCCCTGATTAGACTATTTGTTGATGGAGAGTATGAGCCAACTCACCTTGGTAAACAGGAAAAACTAGTAGGTTTTTAGTCAAATTTAAAATTTTATTTTTCATTAATTTGAATGACTACATGCCACTGACACAACTGCATGCATCACAGCACCAGGCACTTTTCAAAGCACCCAGTGCTGCAGCACTTGCATGTGTAAAAATGCCCTAAGATCGTAAATCAGTACGATCAGATTACAGTACATCTTCCAATAAAGTTATATTTGTTTTTCTTTGATCTTTAAACTGAATAATATAGCACTGAGACCTTAGCCTATTAATAAATCTTATATTTTCTCTTTAACCAGAGAAAAATGTGTTGTGTTTTATGTGATAATTAACTATACCATTTGCAACCATTTTCAAAATCCTTGGTCCACCCATGAACAGACCCACTGTCAGATGTATTATTTCTATTGAAAACTCACCATATACACACATAAGGAAGAGACTGTAGTTTATGGTTATTAGCATTTCTGTTCTACTTTTTTCTAATTCTAAAATGGTCATTGCTAATTACTATGATTACTTTATTTGTCTTTATTCAAAGTATTTTTGAAGGCACTGAAAGAACAGTTTAGTAATTTTGGAGATGAAATTATTTGATGCTCAGCTACTTAAAACACCCCTTTCTATTCCAGGCAGGATGCCAAGCTATATAGCTTGTACTTTACTTTCAATATTTCCCCCTAAACTCTGGCCATCTTCTTCAGCAAACCTACCCACAAGTCAGTTCTGAAACTTGCATTGTCTTGGTGTTTGAACAGGATCAGCTGATGATAGGAACCTTTTCCTCTGCCACACCCCCAGTTTATTAATTCCCTGTAAGCAGCTTGAGAATTGTAGTCAGACTTGCTTGCCAGTGCTCCCCAGCCTCCATCTCCTGTCTCTCACCTGCCATGTTTTGATCTTAATAAATATTGAAGGGGAGACAGCCTCCAGAAGCTGGGGTAGTCTCTTCTTTGGTGTCTTCTCCTCTTGGTCTAGTCCTAGAGGTTAATTCCCCTAGTAGCCCAGACTTCAGGGCTACTCTGCCCAAACCTCACAGGATGTATTTCCCCCTTGAAATGGCCCTAGTCATGCCTTAGGGAATATATTGTGGTTGGCAGCCACCCTCAAAGCCACCCTGATATCCCTGTTACAACTTGAAGGGGGCTTCCTTACTCCCAAGCTGACACTAGGCTCTTCAAGCCCTAAAGCCCTTGTGAGGGTTTCAGCCTTCCTGGCTTTGGCTGTTTTCCTCTGGCTGAGCCCCCCACCGAACCATGGCCACAGGCCCTGGGCTCCTTGGCTTCAGCCCTGCCTTGCTCTATACCAGCACCCGAGGTCCCTGGACCCAGCAAGGCTGCTCCACTGCTCTATGCCAGCCCTTGGGGTCCCTGACCCCAGCAAAGTGGCTCTTGTTCTCAATACCACCCGAACAGGTCCCCAATCCCAACAAGGCTGCTCTGGCTCTGCACTGCCTTGGGGTCTCTGACCCTTATAGGGTGGGAGACCAACCCAACATATGCTCTATGTTGCTCTATGTTGGGTGCCCCCTCAGGCATTTCTGTGGCCTCCACACCTCTCCCATAGCCACAACCCAGTCCTCCAGTGTTTAAACTTAAACACAGAAGAAGTAACTAAAACACAGTGTTAGTCATCTGGTTGCAACTCATTCAAACCCCCTTACAGTTATAACAGTTGCCACATTCCTTCCACAAGGAGCTGAATTGATTCCCCAGCTTACAGGGTGCCTCCTTTTCTGTGTAAGCCAACTTCACCCTCAGCTTCTTCCCCTGCAGCATGCAGGTATCAGCTGCCAGCCCCTCCCAGCTCAGACACTGGACTTGTATACAACTAAGTCTTGCCCTTTCCTGTCACCTGACTGCTGCCTTTGGAAATGAGCTCAGTGGTTTCCACTCAGCCTAACAAGCTGTTGAGACTCCCCTGTCCTGCCGTCCTCCCTAGTTACCTAGCAATCCCAGGCCTCAAGGCCTGGGTCCCTGTTGCTCCAGGTTTCTGCAGAGCTCTGCTCCTGTGGGCCCCTGAAGTCTTACTGCCCTATTGTAGGTAGCGTCATAACTCTTTGGGCTTCCTTCTGGGGCTTACTCCAAATGCAACTCTCCCTAGTTCAGTTGTTTCCTGCACAATGCTCTAACCTGCTGCTTTCTCCTCTTACAGTAACAGGAGCACCTGGGTCCCTGTTACACTTCCCAGTTGCATCTCACTAGATGTGTCTACACAAGATGCTATGTCATTGTAGTGATGAGCCATGTCTCCATAGCTCACTGCTTCAGCTACATAGCATTGCTGGCCATGAACCGTGATGCCAATGCTACTGTGCAGTAGCTTGTACTGCACAGTAGCTTGTTGCTACTGCGCAGTAGCATCGAAAATGACCCATGTGGTGTTGGGATTGCACAGTAACTGTAGGGCTAGGGACAGACATTATACACAAACCAATTTAAATGATCAGAAACTGGTTTAAACCTGTAACAGAACAGGTGTTCAGTGCACATAAACCAGATTGAGAATGGCTGAAACCGGTTTGAGATAAAACTGGTTTAATGTAGTTTTAGATGTAACTGATTTGACTCAAACCGGTTTATGCAATGTCTTTCCCAGACCCCTTGCTTGTTTAAGATAAACTAGATACCCCCAGCATCCCGGCATGCTCTCTGGGCTGGGTGGGGCTCTCTGCTCCACAGCAAGGCTGGCCCCTCTCCTTTGCTCCCTGGCCACAGCTCCCTTCTCTTCCCATCACCACTCTGTGCTAAGCAGGAATCCTCCCCTCCCCTTTGCCTTGCTGAGGTATCTGTGTATTAGCTAGCAGATCACATGCTGGCTATGGTCTGTGCGGAATCAGCAAGTAGCTGGTAATGTCCCCCTGTTTTTTTCTTAATTGGGTGATACACACTGTTATTACTGCTGGGCTAATCACAGCATCCTGCTGGAGCCTGTCACCTGTCCATGCCCTCCTCAGCTCCATGCTGTGGAAGGAAAGGAGGGCTGCTCTAGCGGCCCCTGGCTCCTAGCCTGAGCCACTGCAGGCATGTGTCTGCATTTCTGGGATGTCTGTTCGGTTACAAAACTGATTTAGCCGAGCCAGGTTAGACTAATCTGCAAAGATTGAATTAATCTCAGGCTTTTTGAATGTCTGTCCCTAGCCTAGATGTGCCCACTGTGCTCCTGTTACCTATGATAATCAAATAACTAGTATACATGTCAGCACAGCCATGATGCAAATGTCTAGTATTAGTCAAAGAAAAGAATAATGAAGAACTAGATAATTTTCAGCAATGTCAGCAACCTGGAGATGCTATGGAGAGACAAGAAAAAAAGCTGGCAACCAGGACTACAGCTTTCCCTTTAACAGTGCTTACTTAAATTCTATGATTTTTTTCTGTAACTGCATAAAAAGAACAAACCAAAGAAATAGAGAAGAAAGGAATACAAGTAGAAAGTAAGTCAAATATGGAACAAAGGGGATTAGACACAGAAAGAAGAAAGATTGTGAAGCTTTTCAAAGGGGGTTGAGGAGAATGGATCCAGAGTTTGTATAATCTGCATTAACATTCACTACTGTTCAAACAAAATTCTGTTTCATTTTGTTTGGTTGGTGTTGGAAAAATATAATTCTCTGGCCTAAGAGTAACTATTGTTTTGTAATTAGTTATATTAATTATTGTAATGGTAATCAATTATACTTACTGATTAATGAAAGGATCACAATAACTAAATCAAATATATTCCAACCATTAGTAAAGTAGTAATGTCTTAGGCCCAGAAATTTCAGGATGAATTCTCCAGTAAAGATGAGAACAAAGACCAAGTTGATTTGAACAAGAATGTTTTTAGTGTCTTGATCCTCATTTTCCGCCATCATGGCAATCATGTTAAAGAAGATGAAAATTGCAATGGCAATATCAAATGCTTGGTGGGATACAATGTCAAAAACAAAACCTTGGAATTTGTTCTGAAAGGAAAAAAAGAGAAAGAATAATGTTAGTTGTGAGATTCAAGCAATGCAAAATATTAGTTATTCCTTCTTTTCGCCAGAAAGGGAATTTAGCTGACAATAAATGTTACTATAATCTGCATTAAGTGTTTTTAGGTGATACCTTTACATAGTCAAGATTGCAACCAAGCCTAATATATACATGTATTAGAGGAAAATGACACATACATGCTCTGTGCCCCAGGCTGCAGGAGGGATGGAGCCTGTTGATGCAGAACAAAGGTAAGGAGTGCAGCAGAGGGGGAGAGGGAGAAGCAACATGGGGAGGAGGTTGGGGGGGAGGCTGGGGGCTGTTGCCGAGGAGTGGTGTGGCATGCCAAGGCAGTGGGAAGCAGATGGTAGCTGCAGGTCCAGCTCCAGACCCAACTCCATGTTGGGGCTGTAGCCACAGCAGCTGTATGCCCCCATTACCCCACCTCATGCTTAATTTAAGGTGAGCGGATTTCTTCCCCATGTTAAATGGTGGGGAAAAAACCTCATCTTCTAATCAAGTAAAAACACCACTGCTAATGTTTCTTGCTGTATATGGGTATTCAGACAGAAGAAATTATGATAATGTTCATTAATCTTGATATTTTTACAGATTTAAACATCAATGAAATGTATTTATTTATTAAATACCAGACATAGATTATTTGTTATTTCCTATTCATTTCTCTTCTGTTTTAATTGGCAATATTTTAAATAGGAAGAAAAAAAAATATCAAGTGATTTAGGTGACAAATAAAACATTATCCTGGTTTTCTCTGTTCACAAATCACAAATTCTCTGATAAAAATTGCCAAATCTGATTTAAAACTCCCAAATCTTCATTTTTCCAAAATTAAAATAAAATACTGTCCCTGTCCCCTTCACTCACCAAGATGTGGGTACAGCTGCGGGTGTTGCTCCCCCCACTGCTCTGTGGCACTGAGCAGCCCTGATATGCTGGTGCCTTGCTCATGTAATTGCCCCTCACTCCCAACCACAGTCCCTCCACCCCCTGCAGCTCTGCCAGGGCTACAGAGCCAGGGACCCAGGTCCATAGAACCTGCCCCCCCATCAGTGCCCAAGCCCCAGCTGTCGTCTCAGGGAGGCAGCGGCTGCTGTGACCTGAGTGGAGTGTGGATCTTGGTTCCCCCTCCACCACAGGTGACACAGCTGGAACAGGGTCCATGTCGCCGCCAGGAGCCCCACAGTGGCTGCATCACCATGGCGAGGCACCTCCTGCAGTGGGGGGCACAACTCCGCGCCATCACCCCCACTGCTGCCAAGTGGACAGGAGGTGCCTCACCATGGCACCATGGGACTCTCAACGGTCACATTGAGCCTCCCCACCCCACTCTGCCCAGCTGTGCTGGCTCCCACCTGCTGGCTCTCACTCCTTGGGTGAGAGCAACAGGGCAGGGAGCCCCAGCCTGCAGTTGCCAGCCTGCATCTGACCCCCCGCACACAAATCTGGGGGGCACATGCCCCCCATGTCCTCCCCAGGAGTGCACACAGAGGTAGGGAGCCAATCCACCCACCATCACCCAGATGAGCCACCTGCGGCTCTGTCCTACTCCCCACCTGGGCCCTGTGGCTGTGCATTTCAGCCCTGGCCCTGGGCCCCAGGCCCCATGTACCTCCTCCTCTGGCCAGCAGCTTCTTCCCCAGCCCCACCCAACTCCCTCCATCCCTCTCTCACTATGGGGCTTGAATTCTGCCCCACACCCCATAGATTTATCTGTAGGGAGTTGTGGGAGCTGCTCTCCAGGCTGCCTGGCTGCTATATGCATGTGTGCATGTGCACATGCACATGGCGCCCCATGCTTGATCACTCTCCTCCCATTCTGCCTAGCCCCTTCCAGGCTGGAACTCTGTCAGCCTGGAAAGGGAAACCTGCTTTTCCCCACATTTTTAAATGAGAAAATCTGCATTTTATCATGCTTTTCCATGGTAAATGGAAAACCCAGATCCCTTATACTGAATAGCTGCTAATTATTAGGGCTGTGCAAAACGGCACTGTTCCATTTCAACTTGCATTTTGATGTTTTGATGGAACAGCATTTCGTTTAGAATTTCATTTTGATTCGAAACCACTGTTCCATTTCATTTCATCCAAACAGTGATACTATTTCAACACTGTTTCGAGTTTCGCCCATAGGCTATAATGGGGAAGTTCGAAACAGCCTCTCTCATCTGGCAAGCACATTGGGGGCCCGCAACCCCAGGAGGGCTGCTGGAGCTGTGCCAGTCCTCTCGGGGTTGTGGGCCCCCGATCTGCCTGCCAGATGAGGGAGGGAAGCCGGGTGCTGCCACCTGGGTCCCAAGCCACCGCACTTGGTCCCAGCACGCCGCCGGTCCCAGGCAGCAGCACCCAACTTCTCTCATCTAGCAGGAAGATCAGGGGCTGCAACCCCAGGAAGGCTGTGGAGGCTCAGTGCCTTTCCCCAGCCCAATTGAGCCCAATCACTCAGTTCCCCTCCCCAGTGCTGCGATCCATCGGGCTGGGGAAGGGTACAGAGCCCCATTGCTCAATTCCCCTCCCCAGCATTGTGATCCATCAGGCTGGGGGAGGGAACTGAGCCCAATCACTTAATTCCCATCCCCAGTGCTGCCATTGATTGGGCTGGGGAAGGCAACTCAAACCAGCTGAGTTCCCCTCCCCAGTGCTAGGATCAGGCTGGGGAAGGCAACTCAGCCCAACTAAGCTGACTTCCCTTCCCCAGCCCGATCCTAGTGCTGCAGAGAGGAACTCATCTCAGCTGGGCTGACTTCCCTTCCCTAGCCCGATCGATGGTAGCAGTGGGGAGGGGAACTGAGCAATCAGGCTCAGTTCCCTTCCCCAGCCCAATGGATTGCAGCGCTGGGGAGGGGAACTGAGTGATCAGGCTGAGTTCCTTTCCCCAGCCCGATCCTAGTGCTAGGAACAGGAACTCAGTCAGGCTGCTTCAAAACTCGAAACGTTTTGAAACTTTTGAAATGTCTTGACTGCCCTCATTTTGTTTGGAGGGTGTTTCAAAGCCCTTTGTTTCATTTCAATTTCACTGATTCGAGCTCAAAACGAGTCAAAACAGTGTCAAAATGAAACAGCTGGTGAAATTTGCAGAGCCCTACTGGTTATCATGAACAATTCACAAACACCCGGTAAGCTGCAAATAGTTTTCCAATGTATTTAATTAATACTTCAGAGAGACCAACCCACAAACAACTGATAGGCTGCACTTGTTTTCAGTATATTTGGATAATATATACAGAGCACATGTGAAGAAAATAGAAACAATTTGCAAGTTACTTGTAAAGAGAAAAGGGACAATATTAGTAAATAATATCTGCAATTAATATTCTGGTCAGGTCTAATATTGTTATCAGTTGATTGATTGCTTGATTGGTTTTAAAATAGTCAATGATTACATTTATTTCTATTAAAGTAATTCAGGATGGTCTTACCAGGGGCCTTGGGATGGGTTTTTGTGGTTTCTTAGACCCAAGTTTCTTTAATGCATTATAATATTTTTTCTGATCCTTTGTCAAAAATAGCTCTTTTCCACCTAAGTATAGGGAA